ATTTATTCCTTGCCATGTTTGGACAGAGGGATGGTAAGTTGAATAACATACAAGTTAAAAATTATCACAAAGCTTGGAGGTGTACCATGAGGCAAAGGTTATGTAAAACTAAATCCCTTTTCTAAATAGTTTAAGGCAGATTTCACTAAGCTGACACAATGATCAAGGAGGAAAGAGAAGCCAAGCAATGTTTGAGATCCACTTGTCATGTGGTAAACACCCAAGCAATTCTAGAATTCCTGTGCAGTTTTCCTCAACTGGGATTGTGTGCTATTGCTCCAGGGTCAGCTAACCTCACAAGATAATTATCTGTGGACCTGTTTTTCCAGGTCAGCCCATTGCCACTTCACTGTCACTCTCTATCTCTGCGCTTAACTGTGATCATCTGCCCAGCTGCAACTACATCAGTGATCACACTTTACTCTTGACTTTACATCACCTCTATTGTTCAATCAATAAAACCACTGTACTCACCTTTAAATCCTTCTCTTTGTCTGTCCTCGGTCCACTCTGTACTCTCTCTTTGTGAGAGTCGTCACAAGCAAGGGCTAAAAGGAGATAAGGCAGTGTTCGTTGCAAAGCCTTGGTGTAGCTACTTTATGGGTGACATTTAGGAAATAGAGGGGCTCATCAACTTATGTCACCACTCAGTTCCTACACAACATAACCCAGTTGTCAGAACTCAAGTGCTGTACATAAGCACCTATGTCACTGAACAATGCTAACACAGTGGTAATGTCATAATCTAAGACATAAAAACATCAGAAAGGTCTGACTTACGCTTCGAAACCAGTATGAAGGGCAGAAAGTTCCCAAAAAACACACAAATGAAAAAAAGTGAATGTAGTACAACTACAACCAGCAAATATAAAAAAAAGCTTCCACCTGTAGGGTCATCTGCTCCGCTCGCCAATCTGTACCTGTGTGAAATTTGTTTTAATGCCATATATCAGAACAATGGTCTAAGACTTACTACGTTAATGGAAGATGGCGGCATAACCACGAAACACCTTAGGTCGAGGATGTTGCATTTTGTAACTATAGCGTCAGAATTGAAAAGAACATGAAAAAGTTCTCATTTTGAGAAGACTGATTCCAGAAAATGTTCCCCCTTTCCATCCATCCATCCATTTTCATCCGCTTATCCGTTCAAGGGTCGCGGGGGCAGCGGTCGCCACCCAAATCCCACTGCACCGTATCAACCCCCCAAACCTTCCTGCAGGTGGTGAGTCCACTGGAAGGTATTAACCTCCCTAACCGGGATTCGAACTTGTCCAGGAGGTGAACCCTGGGGTTCCACACCAATGACAGAGACACTGACTCTGGGCCAAAGCGCCACATGTTCCCCCTTTACAGTCTTAAATTTAGATTTGAGAAGTCAAGTCTTTTCAAAAGTTTTAATTCAAAAGACAGTTGTTTTGAGGTAGTTGGGATAGCATGCTCCTTTAAAAGTAAGGCATTGCCTGGGTAATTGAAGAACTTTTTATCTAAGTGGTTTGTTCAAACCATGTGATGATGTGCAGTCAGTGAACAAATAGATAAGGTGCCCCAGGGGAAAGAGAGGGGAGGTATTTGAATAAATAACTACCTGTTTTAACCTAAAAACAATTACCCAGGCAATGCCTAAAGGTATGAAAGTCGAACGTGCTTTTGAATTTAAAAGTTAGAAAAGGCCTTAACTTCCCTAATTTAAGACCTTAGATTTTTCTGGAACCAGCTTTTTCAAAATTGCTGTGGCTGGGTTACAGATTTTTTGTTTTTCAACAGTGGTTATTAGGTCTGTAATTTTACTCTGACTGACATCAAATAAGAATGGGAAAAGTCTTAAATGTCTGCTGGATTATGGTGGAAGAATGGCATTAAAACAAATTTCACACAGGTACAGATTGGCGAGCGGAGCAGATGACCCTACAGGTGGAAGCTTTTTTTATATATTTGCTGGTTGTAGTTGTACTACATTTACTTTCTTTCATATTGTGTGAATTATCTTAAGATGACCCTGGAGCAATAGAACACAATCCCAAATGAGGAACACTGCACGGGAATAACTACCGAAAGGCAGATGACAAAGAGGGATTATCAAAGTTATCAAAGAAACAAATTGAATTCTATAATTGCCTGGGTGTTTACCATATGGAAAGTGGCAATTTCCACTATCTGAAACATTGCTTTTATTATTGTCTCAGCTTAGTGAATTCAAATTTAAATGCGCCTTAAACTGTTTAGAAAATAATTTTAGTTTTACATAAACTTTGCCTCATGGTACACCTCTGTGTACAGCACTTGAGTTCTGACAACTGGGTTATGTTGTGTAGGAACTGAGTGGTGACATAAGTTGATGAGCCCCTCTATTTCCTAAATGTCACCCATAAAGTAGCTACACCAAGGCTTTGCAACGAACACTGCCTTATCTCCTTTTAGCCCTTGCTTGTGACGACTCTCACAAAGAGAGAGTACAGAGTGGACCGAGGACAGACAAAGAGAAGGATTTAAAGGTGAGTACAGTGGTTTTATTGATTGAACAATAGAGGTGATGTAAAGTCAAGAGTAAAGTGTGATCACTGATGTAGTTGCAGCTGGGCAGATGATCACAGTTAAGCGCAGAGATAGAGAGTGACAGTGAAGTGGCAATGGGCTGACCTGGAAAAACAGGTCCACAGATAATTATCTTGTGAGGTTAGCTGACCCTGGAGCAATAGCACACAATCCCAGTTGAGGAAAACTGCACAGGAATTCTAGAATTGCTTGGGTGTTTACCACATGACAAGTGGATCTCAAACATTGCTTGGCTTCTCTTTCCTCCTTGATCATTGTGTCAGCTTAGTGAAATCTGCCTTAAACTATTTAGAAAAGGGATTTAGTTTTACATAACCTTTGCCTCATGGTACACCTCCAAGCTTTGTGATAATTTTTAACTTGTATGTTATTCAACTTACCATCCCTCTGTCCAAACATGGCAAGGAATAAATTCGTTGTTGTGGTAGTCTCGTTGTTGTGGTAGTCTGATTGTTGTGGTAGTCCCGTTGTTGTGGTAGCGGTAGTCTGATTGTTGTGGTAGTCTGATTGTTGTGCTAGTCTAGTTGTTGTGGTAGTCTGATTGTTGTTGTAGTCTCGTTGTTGTGGTAGTCTCGTTGTTGTGGTAGTCTGATTGTTGTGGTAGTCCCGTTGTTGTGGTAGCGGTAGTCTGATTGTTGTGGTAGTCTGATTGTTGTGCTAGTCTAGTTGTTGTGGTAGTCTGATTGTTGTTGTAGTCTCGTTGTTGTGGTAGTCTCGTTGTTGTGGTAGTCTGATTGTTGTGGTAGTCCCGTTGTTGTGGTAGCGGTAGTCTGATTGTTGTGGTAGTCTGATTGTTGTGCTAGTCTAGTTGTTGTGGTAGTCTGATTGTTGTTGTAGTCTCGTTGTTGTGGTAGTCTCGTTGTTGTGGTAGTCTGATTGTTGTGGTAGTCCCGTTGTTGTGGTAGCGGTAGTCTGATTGTTGTGGTAGTCTGATTGTTGTGCTAGTCTAGTTGTTGTGGTAGTCTGATTGTTGTTGTAGTCTCGTTGTTGTGGTAGTCTCGTTGTTGTGGTAGTCTGATTGTTGTGGTAGTCCCGTTGTTGTGGTAGCGGTAGTCTGATTGTTGTGGTAGTCTGATTGTTGTGCTAGTCTAGTTGTTGTGGTAGTCTGATTGTTGTTGTAGTCTCGTTGTTGTGGTAGTCTCGTTGTTGTGGTAGTCTGATTGTTGTGGTAGTCTGATTGTTGTGGTAGTCTGATTGTTGTGGTAGTCTGGTTGTTGTGGAGGTTGCAGATACTGTAGTAAATCATCTGGACTGCTAATTTTGATGCTGACTATAAGATAATAACAGCAGATCATCCATTGCGTCACGTTTCATTTCAGTTATTAGAAGTTTCTTAAAAAGCAGATAATGCATCTTTAAACAGTGAGTAGACAGCTAGGACAATTCTCAGAGAAAAATAAGCTCTGATTTGAGCCAGTCAGTCTTACTACAACGAAAAATAAAAAGAATAATTATAAAACATTGGCAATCAGCACTGATGGTACATGAGCCTCGTTTGATTTCCTTTGTAATTCTATTGTGTACAATTCTGCAAATGTACAATATTGTAATGCTAACATTATAATGAATGATATAATCCAAGAGGAGCAGGACAACTGGTGTTTTGCTCAACTCAACACCCTCAGAATTAAAGGTTTGCGATGATAACAAGTATGATCCACTAACCCAGAGCCAAAGTCAAATGACCTGAAGTCAAGTCATTCTTGAGGTCAGCTGTGGCTATAACATTACAATTCGAATGGTATCAAAGACTGTTTTATGCCTTTTAATTAAAACAAGTCTGGGGTCGTTATATTATTCCAAACTGAATGGAATTCCACTTTGCTTCTTCCTTCTAGTTTGCCTCTGACAATACAGGACTATTGTATGAGACCATGGACTCCACTACTTCTGAATTTGACATCACTTACCTCCAGAATGGTTCTACTGTCCAGGACTTCATCGAAGAGAAGATCAATGAATCAGTGGTAACTAGCACTTCATTTAAGTGAACAAAGAGATATTTAATGGCCTTGGTTGTTTTAGCATCCCAAGATCAATAACCTTCACGATAGGAGTTCATTTTAGGGGTGAAAGAGATGCTGAAAATGGAGAAAGTCTTTAAAGACACTCCAACCACAGCTGTGAACCTGTGAGGGCGCAGCACCTGTGTGAGATGATGGTCAGAGTAACAGAAGGGTGTAGGGCAGGGCAGGTATTAGATAGTTATAAGACAGGTTCACAGATGAGGTCAGGCAGCTCTGTGGACTGAGATGTATGCAGATATATCTTATAGTGTTCCCTGAAGATCTGCACTGGAGACAATAGGAATGACCGTAAATCTCATTTGCTCTGGGAGCTGAAATACAAGGAGTCTCATACAAAAGCTTAAGATTTATTTTCTGGCATTTAAATTTAACCATGGAATGTATGCTGTAATAGCAGTATGGATATTGTATCAGTCAGAGTTGTTCACATTTTTCCTTTGCAGTCAGTGTGGCTATTTCATCTGGTTTTGCAGCTAACAAACCTCTGCCATAAAGTCAATAATATGCAGCCCACCAGCACAGGATAAAATACACACATACGAAAAGGCTATTTTATATTTCACAGGAAGATGGCAGCAGACCTGTGGTTGCACTCTTGCTGCATGAGCCGGCTGAATGGTCATTTTTTTCCCCCCACACATTTTAACTTCACATAATCTGAGCCTCCTTACCAAAGGTTTGGACACCGATGATGTAGACTATGCTATGAACGACATAGTTCACGGTCATGTAGCCCCCTTGAATAGCTTTTTACACAGACAGTAATTAAAGCTTCTTTAATAAATATTAAGGGACAGTTTTCAAGGAAAGCAATGAAGAACCAGCCATAGGTCCATAGAGACGGTCATTGAACTTAAGAAAACAATAGTCCTCAGTATCTGTGAGTATATCAAAGCACAGAAAACACCTTGAATCAGCAACTTCACAGATTTCTTTTCTTCACCGTAGACTGAAAAAGATGCCTTCTACGTCTGTGACTTGGGTGACTTGCTGAAGAAACACCTGCGCTGGGTGAAGGCCCTGCCTCGAGTCACGCCTTTTTATGCTGTAAAATGCAATGACATCCAGCCAGTTGTCAAGACATTGATGGAATTAGGAATCGGCTTTGACTGTGCAAGCAAGGTTTGTTCTTGGATATATATTTTGATTTGATTTTGATTTTTAAATGTTGTGGTTTTGGCTGTAATTGTAGAAAATGTAAATATTTCTGTTCCTCTCCAGAATGAGATCCAACAAATTTTATCTCTGGGGGCGGATCCAAGTCAAATTATCTTCGCCAATCCCTGCAAGCAGATTTCTCACATCAGTTATGCTTCTGCTCATGGGGTCCAGATGATGACCTTTGATAGTGAGGAGGAACTCATAAAAGTGGCCCAGCATCATTCTACTGCCAAGTATGATTCTTCATTGTCCATAGTATTTCATGTTAAATCCACTGAATTTTGACAAGGTTTTACTTTTTCATTCATTTCTGCTGTATTTATAGGCTGCTGTTGCGCATTTTTACTGATTGCTCAAAGGCAAAGCATCCCCTGAGTAAAAAGTTTGGGGCCTCACTCCACACTTGCCGAGGTCTTTTAGAGCAGGCTAAGGAACTAGGGTTGGATGTGATTGGTGTCAGCTTCCATGTTGGCAGTGGATGTATTGACCCTGAAGCCTTCAGCCTAGCTATTACAGATGCTCACTTGGTTTTTCAAACAGCGGTGAGTCCAGGTTCACATTATACATTTCAAATGTTTGTTCAAATCTGGATGGTCAGTGTGGAAATAAAAGGGTTAATCTTAAATTGAACACATTTTCTTCTGTGATCTCTAGGATGAACTTGGCTTTAGGATGAATGTCTTGGACATTGGTGGAGGATTCCCAGGTTCAGATTTTGATAAACCACAGTTTGAAGAGGTAAGACAATCAATAAGCTTTAGAATAATTTACACAGCATTGTTTAATGAATATTCCTAATATTCTATCCTAAAACCAAAACAACCACTGCACATTGAGAAATGTTATAGAAAGTTATGATATAAGATATCTATATATATATATACTGTATAGTAATAATGTGTATATATATATATATATATATAGAGAGAGAGAGAGAGAGACTATTATTGACTATAT